GTTTCTATCAAACGAGAGAAAATAATACTACGGCTTGAGAATGTCTGTGTTGCGGCATGTGAGTAGATCAAGTCAAATACGGTCAATCGTATGACCAAAAAATTACGTAACTAAATTAAATACCTGAGGATCATTTTATAAGCCTTCAATCAGGAGTTATAAATCTCAAAAACGTCGAAATAGTTAAAATCATCCAGATCCATCATTTTCAAGTATTAGGAACATATTTTGATATTGATCGCCTAAAGAAGTGAAGAAAGGTATTAATAATCCCAAAAAAAGAGAATCAAGACAGACCGAATAACGTATCTCAATCCACAAATGATAGAAAACATGCTAATGAAGTGTACAAAACAAAGCACAATAAACCAATGGTTATTGTTTATGACCATGTTGGCTGTTTAGTCTATATGAACCTGGAAATCTTAGATATTCTTCAGGACAATGCGATGAACGAAACATATAGATGTAGAAGAAGGATTGGTCCTGAAATGAATGGAATGTATGTTTTAAAATAATCTTACAAATCATGATTGCGTGTCCTTACTGGTCACGTGCGGAACCCTGTAATGGAAAATAGGATATTTGACCAGGAAACGCAAAATCAATGAAGTAAATACAATAAACATATATGAATTCGTTGGGTCGCATTGTAGAGTAAGACTTTGGCGAATGATCTGTTGGCTAGGCAACCCTTCATTGTTTTCAAATTTATCGCAGTTCTGCTTTGGATTAATTGCTTGATTTCCTTATAGACGTCGAGAGGCTTAACCGAATTCAAGATTAAAATTTAATTAAGCGAAACTCCTTCAAAACCATACATATCATGAGGCAGAGAAGTGTGTAATTAGCCAGAGATAAACTCGAATCAAGATATGTATAGCAAGATCTTTGGTATTGATACCGATGTATTTAGAGGATTTTTCAATGATAAGAAAAACTAACGTGTTTACGTATCAGAGAACCGTGACTTCGCAGTAGAATTTATATCCGTAAAAACTCTGATATATTCACTCTATAAGGCTATTAATTGTTACATTTTTAGAGAAAGTATAGAATTAGCGTAGAGTCTTACAAAACAACATATGTACACTAATGTAATGAATGCTCTTTATTAAATAAAACTACACACGTGTTAGATTTCATTTTTTTGTTTTTCTGATGCAATTATGCGCTCACTCCATCCGGATGTATTATCATGATACACAGGTTAAAAAATTACGAACCAAATTTTATTAACAATTTCGTCATTTGATATTAAATTTCATTACTTTGGATAATCTTATTAAGAAAACCTTATTTGTTAAACCGTGTAAGCTTCAATTTTCTTGTACCATTGATGTGATTGGGATGTGTAAAATATTCATAACTTGTAATAAGTGTAAAGAACATTTTTAAATGATTAAGAAATATCCATTTTTTTCTATATACAAACTTCATTTTTCGCTCGAACTTCGGAGAAAATAGAAGAGAAAATATGTACGTTATAATGGAACTTTTGATTTCATAAGAGAAACTATTAAAAAAACCAATACCAGATCCCCTGTTCTAATTTAATTTAAATTTAAAAATAACAAAAATTATGAATGATTTATTTTGTATTGGTATATATATAGTCAAAAATCAAAAAAAGAGGAAACATGGAGATTGATATTGTAAGATTTAACCGAATACGACGTATGAATTAAAAATTTAAAAAAAAATAATATGCTTTAATTTGTCAATTTTTTTTTTTTACAAAAGTTTGTCAAATGGTCAATTTTTGAAATGACAACATGCATTAAATTACTAAAGAATCTCAATATTAACAGTTAATGGATTCGTTAACTGAAGATTTATGGTGTTTTTCAGTTGTGTGTAAAATCATGCGCATACATTTTTTTGGTAAATTTCAAAACAGAACCCCTCATATTGTATTTATTAGTTAGTAGTCAACAATGAGACCACGGCAAGAAATCACAAGAATATTAATTATTCCTCTGTCGTACCATTCTTATACAATTCCAGTAGTATTCTTTGATGGTTTCAGCTGACGTATAATCATTGGTCATGTTGTGTGACCAATGACCAATATAAATCTTTCATAAAGTTAATAATCATTTGTTCCTCTGAAAAATTAGGATTGATGCCTTTTGTTATGGCAAACGTGGAAAGCGATGCAAATAAAGGATGAATAAACCTTCACATTGAGAAATTTGTTGAATGCGTAACTGCAGCTTTAATGTAACTATTTCCATCTAACTGTGTCAAGATTTTTTTCAAGGAAATAAGTTTTGGTATAAGTTTCTTTATCGCTAATGAATGAGAGTGATATTCATACAGATTCCAACTACAATGTTTGACTGTCACAAGGAGGAAAGGCCATGAGATATCGTTTCTAAAATAACTTATCCTTCTTGTTGTATAATGATGATTCAGCATTTAATAATCTTACATATACGATTTATTCTGGTTTAACATATAAAAACAAGAACAACAGCTAATTAATTAAAACGTTCGTGCTTACTGGTTATTACGGCGCGAAGACCTACCAAAAATGGATACTTCACCAAATTTAATTTACTGAAATTTGATGGTTATAAGAAAGGATACACATGTTTTGATTGAAAATCAGATAATAAACTATCCTAATTGTCGTTACAAGAAGGAATGATTTCTTCCGCTAGAGTTTTTTTTAGATAAATCATAAATGAATAAGACGCGTAAAGATATTTTTCCTCTATTAACAATTTAAGGCTAGCAATTTTTATATAATGAATTACTTGTTACATAATTACTAAATAAAATGTTGAAGTCGTTACTTGGAAAGAAGAAGTGATTATGTGGTTAATTTGATGTTATATCCTGATAATCATTGCAATACGTAAATAATAATTTATTTGAATTTCACCAATTAAACTTTTTTTTTTTTTTTACTGTGCTGATGCCTGATGCTGAGCCAAAATTACCTAAGACTGATAACAACATCATCCAGGAACCACTAGTTCCATTGATTATCAAAGGTATCTATTTATACTGTACCTCGGTTCATTAATGGTCGAAATAAGTTTTTATTCTGGGAGGAGATATTTGCGAATGAATGGAGAATTGCTCACAATTACTGTGAAATTTAAAGTAAAAAAGATAACTTATTACTTTTACAAAAATCAATTACACCACATGATCGTATCTTTATTATAATGTAATTTTTATGAAAAGGTCATATATATTTCCACGAATAGAAAATGATCTAATGTTCGTAGGAAAGTTGTTGCTTACGTAATATACTTTCTTTTATCATAATGATGGCATTATTCGATGATCATTATTTTAAAAATATTGTATTATTTTCTCACGCACACGCAATACTAAAAAGTTTTAAAAGGGAAAAATTTTTAAAACATAAAACTTTTTAAACCTTTAAGATCGAGTGGATTGACATTATTTTTTAAGCGAAATTTGCTTATATATTCGTGAACTTTTACCCATTTGAAATTTATCGTAATAAATAATCTAACAAAGCCTTATGAATTCTCTTTTCTTTTAATAAATTTAAAAAAGTTCCTGTACATTTCACATATTCGCAATGAAGCAAGTGATATTATGATTATGGGTTGAAAAAGTATGTAGATATTTAATAGAAAACTTTGTTCGTCACTCGCAATGAAAATGGTTTTTATTAAAAAAGGTACTCTTCCAAAGTTAATGATTTACCGTATTAAATTATGCAAACTAATATTTTTTTTTTTTCTTTTATGAAGGTAAGTCATTAAAAGAAAGAGGGTATAACGAAAAAATTTCGAAACAAATTTGTATAAAGTAGCTCATTTTTAAATTTTTCTATTTCTAGGATTGTATTTATAATACTAGATCCGAAAAGAAAGGGTGTAAGAGGGGGGCTATCATTTAATCCTATTTTGTCAATGATACCGAAGAATATAACGGTAATGAGATTCGAAACATAGAAAGTTCTTGGGAAAATTATTTTGTAGCATGCAAGAAAAAGATTTTATTAGATCAACTTTTCTCAAATCCTTTTTACAATTAGAAAAAAAATCAAAATCTAATAATTTTTAATGAAAAATATATAAAATATGAAGAATTCATAGTATTTTATTAAAAGAGAAATTTAATCTCGTTAAAAAGTTTTGGCATTTTACTTTTAGGATGTTCAAGATGATTTACAGAATTGATGAAAATGTATTTCAAGTATAGATTTTCAAAACGACGTATTTTCCGAAAAAGCAACGATCAAATTAGACGATCGAAGTGCATGTTTTAATGATCTAAAAAATGAAATTGAAAGAGTAGTGGAAAAAATCATTTTCTTATAGTAAGAGAGTGGAGAATGAAAAAAAAAAAAATAAAAATAAAAATAAAAATGAAAATAAAAAAATAAAATAAAAATCGCTCTACTCTTATTTTCAGTCATTATTCATAATGAAGGTAGTAAATCTTCTTTGGGTATGGCTATTTTTAATAAAGTTGACATCTGATTATTTGTTAGTGTTAAGAGGCGGGTTTAAGAATCATCTTTTTAATATCCGACAAATGTAGATTTTATTTAAGTTTATATTATTAGAAATACTCTTTTTATATTTAGACGTTGTGTATTAATAAACCGATGGTTATTCTTACTTTAAATTAATCGCATATTAAATATCATCGTGAATTTTTCCAATGAATTTTGCAGTGTTATAATTTGCTATTACGTTTGGTGTTAAAAAAAAAAAAAAAAAAAAAATTAATTTTTTAATCACCAAATGAGGAAAGTACAAAGATTTTTGGGCAAATTGAATCCGGATGAGATCTTAAAAGATCGTCGCCATACAGCGGATTATTTAAAGTAATAGTTCAAACCGGATGTGATCAAAATTGGTCATAATAAAAGACAAGTGCGAGTGGAGAATCAAGTTAAATTGATGATTCATGAGCCTTTTTTAGCTTAATTGGACGTGTTTTGAGGGTATCACTTTTGTTATATTTAAAACTATTCCATTTGGCTGAATTTTAAAATAGAT